GTACCACAGGCATGAGCCTCTAAGGGGGTCTGGCAGCATGCCCCCTCCCCTCCTCCCCTCCGAAAAACTTCAAAATATAGAAGGTTAGATTTGCCATTTTGAGCCTTTGGGCAAACAAATTTGGTTTTAAGAAATAATTTTTTTATTAGAGACAACCATAAATTTTACTGAACATCTTTCTTTTCTTGGAATCCTAATAATGGGACCAGACTACACCCCAAAAAGGGCAGTAGTTTTCTCACCTTCATCTACCTAGCTTTCCGTTCTTTGTGATTTACAGAAATATCGATCAATTCCAGGCTGGCTTGAAGTGGGTTTTCTTTTACTCATGGGTACTCTATAATTAATTATATACTAAGATTTCATGCCTTCTTCTAACACGCCGAATGCCACACCGCACTTGTTGACAACAAACACCGGTCAGTGGAATTCCGCAGAAGGTAGAAGACGCGCATTGGCATTGTGTAATACGTTTTGCTGCTTAAAAAGGCTTTCAAGTGTTACTCGTTTGATTCACGCGATTTTTAACGTTGAAATCTACCTTTAGATACAAAATAAGGAGGCAACCTTGTCACCGAAAAGTAGGCAGCTCTAAATTTAAGGTAGCCGGTTTTTTAGCCGGCTGCCGGCACTTAAATGAGAACCCTGAGTGCTAGGATAAGCAATGTCAATTCAGTAGCATCATGTTTGTAAGTATTTAGAGTTTGGTAAAGAAATAGCAAGAGATGTTTTTTCATCTTGTTGTGAGCATGGACAAAGAAAATATTGGAGTCCCTAGAGGACTCGAAGGTTTGATGATTGAACTATACCTTTTATCTATTTCTTTACACGACTCAAAATTTAGCCTCTTGTTAATTTTATTTTCAGATATCTTAATTGTATGCCTTTGGTTAGTCTGTGTTGCAGTCCTTGCTGTCTGTGTTCATCCTAAAAGGATTTGAACAAAGGATTTGCACAAAGGATTAGCACAAAGGATTCGCACAAAGGTGTAAGGTGGAAGTGAGCCAAACATCAAGGAGCAAATCATGTGGGTTTTCTAATTTGTTTGCTTTCATCCTACACCCTGGGACAACTGACCATGCTTCTTCCCCTTCTCAAAGGCTAGGAAGGGAAGGGAGGGGAGGGGAAGGAGGGAATGGAACATATCATGAACATACCATGCTCTGTTAAGCAGAAATCCAAGCTCAAAATATTGTTTAACCTTAAATTATAAAATGGATGCCAAATATGAAATTTTGGTGGCCACACATTTGTGCAGCAGCAGTATTTCATAATGTACAAAACTGTTCACCACACAGCTTATCTTTGGAGTGAGCAGTATATATAGCTGGCATTTATTTCCACGAAAGAAAACATTACAGCATGATTTACAACTAAATGAAAATGTTTATCTCACTTTGACTACAGACCATAAAACCAAAGTTACACCCAAGCGAGAAAACACGGATCGCCATCTTGGCCCCTTATCCTGCAAACTTAGTAACTTATGATCTACTTTCCCCAACTGTCATAGTGACCAAAACAGTTGCAGCTTACATCACCATTTTGGAGTCAAACTTACAGAGCATTTTAAGACACAATTTTGCTTTTCCCATCTCCCCAGAGTGACAGAAGAGCCTGTTCTTAACTTCGTGATGGATACACCACAAGAACCTATTTACATAAGTATGGGCCACATAACTTGTGGAAAATAAAATATATTAAAACAATACAAACCTGAGCTGTTCCGTTGAAGAAAAGGAGAACTGTAAATATGAAAATGCTGTTCCAGTAACCAAAGGAGATCTATAAACAAATCAAAGTTAATTTTAGAAAATTCAATAATATTAATTATTATAATACCTTATCAGAAATATTACAATGTGTATGGCTTATGTTTCAAGAATTTTGTTCAAGCATGTTTTTTTGTTTCGCACTTTTTCTTTAGATCTGTTGTAAGTAACCAAAATAAAAAAAAGAAAGGTTTGTGACTTTTAATTAAAATTATAATTTCAATAATTAACTTCATCATACAATATTATCTCAACCTAAGAAAAACTTCTGTCAACTTTTTAAAATTGTGAAATTCCTTTCTGTTCTACATCACCAAAGGGTGCTGGAAATGGAATTTCACATAACAACATCTATATCATTTTAATCAGACAGAAAGGTAATAGGAAAAAAGAAATCAGCAATATCAACAAGTTTGAGATCTGTACCATATTAAGTTATGGCCAGGGTTTTTTCTTTTAGGATTCACAGCCCATGTGCAAAGCACACTGGCCATAGATCCAGATGGAAAAACAGGGTTCCATAAACTTATAGTAAGACACACAAAACAAGTTCAGTAAGAAATTAATTCCTTTTCTGGGTTCAAATAGAGGGAAAGATTTAGATTCAAACAAACTTTGAAAATTATTAAGTTCCATGTCGTGAGTGAAAATTTCCAAAGAAGATGTTACAGTTAAGTGTGAAAAAGGAGGGTTTAGCATTGCTTTCGATAAATAACGCCCAGACAAAGTCACCAACACACCACCAACACATCTAACTTGTATCTTACAAGGATAAACGGTGGCCAATGCGTCGACTGACACTCAACCGACAGTGGGCCAACAGTCTACCAATGATGATCGATTGTCTGCCGATGCATTGGCTGATGTGTGTGCCAATGTGTTGGTGGGACCAGATTCTTTTACTTTTACCTCGGTAGGCATGCAAAAGAATAGTGCATGCTTAATTGAACAATCATCATATCAAACAATTTGAATATATCAACAAAGTTTAAATGGTAAATTGGCCACCGTTATGATTATAGAAGCTGACGTTTCGAGCGTTAGCCCTTCGTCGGAGCGAATCGAGGAATTGTGGGTTGTGTGTGCTTTTAAAGGCAGAAAATGGAGCTACGTGATTGGTGGGAACATGGCAACGAAAAAAACACGAACAAATTAGTGGAATGAAAAGCATTTGGTGGCCAATTTACCATTTCAACTTTGTTGATTATATTCAAATTATTTCATTACCCCCCTTTCATCATATTAAACACATATATTAACGGAGGGATAGAATAAATAAACCTTATCCTGTCTCACCATTGATAGTGAAGAACATATCAAACAAAGAGCCAATGCCCTCCGAGGCCCATATTTGTCACCAAATGATGATAACGCCATCTAAAGATAATGAGATACCTATAATTATTGTCACTGACAATAAATTCTTTAATACCTTTTGTTTGCTAGGAAAGACTTTCTTATTAGCTTATAACTTGCAAAAAGAAAACAACTACGATTAACACCATAGTTTTAAATCTGATGGGTGATAAATAATGATAATTCAACTGATTGGATTGAAATTTGGTCTACAATGATGTACGTGATTTCAAAATCAAATGGGCACTCAGGCCAAGTTTGATTTGATCTAGCTCAGACCAAAAGTGCCCAACATGAAGTTCAATTTCCACTTTATCACATCTAATTGATTCCCTCAAAACAAGTTTTTATAATTTGTACAAATATTTCTAGTTTAATGAGCTGGTTTGTAAAAAGTTGCACGAGTTGTCTCTAGTTTTCGTGCGATTAGATTGATTTCTGTAAACGATTTTTGAAATTTGATTGGTTGCACACTGTGTTTTAGTTAAGTTGTCTCGTGGGCTGTGAAAAAGATGTGTTTTAGACCCATAAAATGATGCAATTTGTGAATAAATTGCAGCAGTGAGAACCAATCAGACTGCAAGGATACAAGTGATTTCAAAATGGATGTAATAAAAGCCAAAATCTGGGACCAGCATCATGGCAAGACCCTTCAAAATCAAAGACTAAAACTAGACAATTCAGTAGCAACACAGCTTTGCATTCTTGCCTTTGTCTGACTCAGATTATTGCAAGGTAATAATAATCTCTGGAAGATGTTTTCT